GTAATATATCTACAACTAACTACTATATATATATATATATATATATATATATATATATATATACCTTAATAGCTTAGTATTTTTTAGGCTACATGGGAAATTAAACTTTAGTGAAAATATACTACCGATATGTTTGCCGATATTGGAACCATCAACAGCGGATAATTGTATTGTTACCGGTATAAGTAGCATTATTGATCAAATATAATATAAGAGAAATATCAGGAAAAGAAAATCGAGAAAATTATTTGATAACATGAACTTACGTTTACCTTTTTACGAGTTCTTTGAACTTAATTATGTTTCAAAGAATTCCGTATAACTCGATATATCTTTTTACAGGATGGGGCTTCCAAGAAGAAAGTGGTAGTTTTTCATCAAAGTTACGTGAAACACACGTTCCAATCATACCAATCGTTATTTGCAATAGTATTTTACATTATTTCGGTCGTGTAGATCCGTTATCCATGCTCTGTGCCGGTTCCGGTGGTGCTGATGCTTGTCAGGTTTCGTCCTCATTTACGGAAGAATGAATCTTGAAATATTGAAATAAATCAACGATTACCATCTTTAAATCGATTTAAAAGAATGTAGAATATTGATTTCAAACGAATATCTAAGAATATCGATCTTGAAATGAATACTTAAGAATATCGATTTTCAAAAAAATACGAATTATGAATTAATTTTAATCTTAACTTATAATACACTTTTTTTCAGGGTGATTCAGGTGGTCCACTGATGTGTTATAGCCGTATGCGTCAACGTTGGGAACTACAGGGAGTGGTCAGTTGGGGTCATGGATGTGGTCGAAACAATATTCCCGGAGTGTATGCTAAAATTAGTGCTGTTACTAGTTGGGTGAATTCGCAGATGAAATTACTACAACTAAATGATAATGATATTCTCTAGTTGTCCTTGTACTTTTATTTTATTGATCATTTCAAAAATTGTCCATCATTTCGAAAAACTTTATTTCTTCAACGAATGAATATGCTTGGGAAACAAAGTTCATCTATATACTTACAACCTGATGTTTGGTCAGAATAATTCAGAGATGCATTAGATATTGGTGATTTTTAATTACAAGGTGTAAAAAAAAAGGAAAAATTGTTCATTTTATTTTAGTTAAAGTTATTCGGAGATATCCTGAAGGGTCACGAGGTGAAAGATCACTTTTCCAAAATTACTTTTCTTTTTCAGCAACAATATGCTAGCTTTTCCTAGAAATTCGCTGTAATTCTCCGGACAATTGTACTGCACTTCCACGTTTACATGTATATTTCTATGTAATGATTTTGTTTTATTGAAAAGAAAAAAAAAGATTGATTAAACAATTTTTTATTTCAAATATTTTATGCCAATAATTTGGCATGCTCCTTTATACTTTATACTTTTTTTAAGAAAATCAGTTCACAAATTCACAATTTAAAAGTTTAGATACGTGAATTTAGAAAAAAAGAAATGACATCGAATAAAATGACAATATTATTTTAGAATTAATAGATTCACAGGATAAAATCAAAGATAATTTAAAGTGAAACCTTTTTGAAAGTTGACTGATTCAATTAATTTAAGGTTAACCCTTACTTTATCTTCGAAAAGAGAGATTTTGCGCAATTGTCGTCAATTGAGTATTATCACAGACGAGAAAACAATCATAATTTTCTTACATGATGCGTCTTCTGAATTTAGCGTAAAAATAAGCATTATCGAAGTCAACAGGCACCTCTTGCACCAGCACGGTAGTAAAGTAATCTAACAGTTACACAAATAGGTACCATATTAACACCACAAGACAACTTAACATTCATATAGGTAACCTTATATGGTACCACCATTAATGTGGTTGGTTCCTCAGTAGTCAATAATTGCGATGAAATGAAATGGACGAACCCCATTGTACTCATAGGTTCTATTGAAAGGGAAATATTGCCTGAGAGCCTGAAGGTCTTGTTCTTTTGTTTGTATGACAGGTTTGAATTATATCATGAAGATTTAATATCTTGTGAAACACACGGATCCTTCTGGAGATTATGATGAGACCAACTCTAACATTATCCTCAAAGGTTTCTCAGGATCGAATGTTTGTCACTCATCTTTATTCATTTTTACTAGATTAATTTTCTTTTCATCCTCTAATAACTCGTCTTTACTTATTTCTACTAAACTACTTTTCTTTTCATCCTCTAATTTCTACTAAACTATTCTTTTCATCCCCTAATTTTTTACTATTCAGTTTTTCCCACCATACACATGACAATAACATGACACATTTTAGTCATATACACTGCTATATTTGATACTGATATACTAATATGCGTGATTTGTAAAGTGTATGCTATTCTATACATTATAGGAAGTAGTTAGCTATTGTGCTATAAGATATTTTCCATGGCAGTGTTTGTTTCCTGAATTTTCCATTTGAAATTTGTCGCAGTTAGTTAATCCCAACAAAATCGAAACGTTTCCACGTATATTACTTTAAGGTTTTGTATGTAATGCTTTGGAATCAAAACATTTTTACGTACGTTAGTTTGGATAAACTTCGATATTTTCATGTTTTTCGTAGCCTTCTTATTTATCTACAATTTACCGTCGTTCAGTTACTTTCATCACGTTGACGTGAAAGCGCAAAGCTAATGTATGTGTACATGATGCTATCTTAATATACAATATATGTAATGTTAAGTTAGTTTCTAATAAATAATATTTAGTTAGTTTCTATTTAACATTAGCTAATATGCGTGCAGAACATTTAATTGGACAAATGAAAATTCTTTAAATTTGCGTAATATTTTACAACATTTGGCAAGAAATTAAACTTACATTTGTTAGTTAATTTTCAGAACACGTAATATGGTTGCAAGGAGCAGTTAAGAAGGAACAATGATGGAAGATTGGAGGAATACCACAATCAAAATGGGATGCTGTGCAAATACCTGTTTTGAGGTGATTTCGACATTCCCTACAAAAAAAAAAAAAAGAAGAAAATGTTGTTCACATACTAATTTACAGCATTAGCTACATGAATTATTAATATTACACTTTTACAAGTGTCTCCGCAATTTTTTATGTTATTCCTATTTTGTTTTATAAAATTGATAGAGGTAATTTCCAAAAAAATTTTTGGAAATATTTTTTCAATGAAATTACATTCCATATTTATGCACTTCTTATAAATCGAGCCAAATTTCAAGTAATTTCGAGGATTTTTTAGTAAGAATCACTTAACATTTTCTTGTTTTATTCATTTTTTTTCTAGAAAATGACTAGAAAGCAATAATTAATTTTGAGAATTTTTGGAGACGTGATGCTGCGGAATTGTCTTGAAGAAGTCGAGCATTCTTCCTTTATAAAGGAAAAGGAGAGAATTAATTTATATTTATATTGTAGAGGCAAAACAAAGTACAGAAAGATGTCTACTTGAAAAATTTCAGTTTTTCTAATTTATTGCATAAGTTTCTTTTTAATCAATGATTTGAATGAAATAAATCTTTCTGTATAAAAAATAAAATAAATCAGCTTGAATAATTATTTGAAATATCTTTCGTAACGTAACTTATTTATTAATTTTCCTTTTACTCTAATATACCATTTTCATATTTCATAATCCTGGAGTCAAAAATACAAAAAAAAGAAGATTCATATGAATAAAGAGCTGTTTATTAGACTTTTTAGCGAAGTTTTAAAATTTTTGAACCTTTCCATGTAAGTTACCTAAAAATCTACTTAGTTTATCTTTACTTTAGCTTATAGAATATTACTTGAGTTTATCTCTGGAAGTTTGCTTTATAAATATTGGGAGCTGAAAATGTCATGCAGAAACTATCAAGAAGTACGTCAAGAAGTATTAAACCCGTTGTATTTTTTTGGATTTCATTCTCACACAATGACCATTTTTACTGTCTTTGTAAAAATAATAAAATTTTTCACACATTTTGTTTTCTTCTTTGTTTTGAGAATTTTGCCTAATAAAGATTCAGCACAAGAGCTACATTTTTTGCTTTTCTTTTCTATTTGTAGTTTCGAATGAAGTTTCGAATATTAGAGTGTTGTCATGTAGACTGATTAAAAATTTATCTACTGTAATTACCACGGAATCACTAGAAAAGATTTTGGAAGAGAGGATTCATAGAAATCGTAATAAGTCTTATGGAACAGTAGCTAGCTCTCAAATCGAACATTTTATCAACAAATGTTTTCTAACCATCGTGCAGAAGTCCTACCGATCAGTTCAGCTAGAAGAAATTTCAGGAGATCCATTGTACAATTGAATAGGGAAATCGCCGAATTTTGCAAAGTAATTTTCAGAAAAAATAATTTTCGAGCTGGGGGATAGTTTTGGGAGATTTATACTTTTCTTTCACTTCAATTTTATCCTTTTTCCTATAAATTATTTGAATGATATTTCTGAATTTCATCACTTATTTTTTCGAATAAATCCATTAATTTAATTTATGTTATAGAAAATTCGGGTTTTGAAAGCTGATGATATGAAAAATATAGTAACTCGGTTCTCTGATTTGTAAAATTTTATATGGGTTTCAAAATTACTTCTACAAGGCTTTGAAAATTATTTTTCAAATTTGGTGGAGTATAAATATAGGTTCATATTGATATAGAAAAAAAGGATAGACACGTTATTCTTCATGAGATTAATTTAGAAATTTTTATAAAGCATCAGTCTTGGATTCATCAATCAAGCAAAAATCTCCTTTTTAGTAATGCTAATTTTCTGAGTGGCTCTTCTAATAAACGATTGATCAATTGTACATAATTTACTTGATTTTCTCGAGAACATGATTAGAACAACTATATCCATGAAAATTTTAGATTTCTTGAGGAAGATTAAGAAATTCTTATTGATTAGTTAGTTGTTCAAGAGGTTTTCAAGTATCTGCTGTGATATGATTTTAGACTTCTGTTGATGACGCCTATTATTATATAATGATGAATAGGTATAATATGAGGTGCCAGATGTTGTTACACATTTGAGCACTTCCTGATATAAAAGCATGAGCATTTGCCCATGCAAGTGAATCGTTGTATTAACGAAGTTTGAAATAACGTTGGACTTGTATAAATTAAATAAATTAATTTGTCTCATATTACATTATGATTTTTTATTGTTCATGCGAAACTAAATTTTATATGAATTGTAGTTGCAGGTTTATTGATGTCCGTTTGTATGGTTTTTGAATCAATTTCGGCAGTAAATCACACGAAAATCAGTATGTGGGAAGCTTTATCTGAATTACTTATGGAAAGGATCGATGATTTAATTTACAGTGAATTGCTCATTATTTCTTTTTTCTTCTCTATGATTATGCGACAGGTAATTCTCTTTATCCACCATCATTAGGAATGTGAGTTATGTTTGATTCGTTCTGTGTAACTTCCGATAAAGTCTTAAGCATAAACTACATGAATTTTTAAATTAGTTACTGAGGAAATGTTCCCTAAACTGGAGATAGTTTACAAAAAACTGAAATATTAGGTGCGCTGGGGCATAATTCGTGAAATATGTGGTGGAATTATTGGCATTTCATTGGTTTACTACTTTACTGGTTGGAAACTACTGTATTCGCTTTTCATTGTAATTTTGAATGTCATTATAAATTCAGTCGTGAAGAACCGGTAAGTCTTACGCTAATCGGTATTTTAAACACAGATTCCCAGAGTAGCATTTCAGACATTGAGTTTTGAGATATTTGCAATATTTATTGTGCACGTTTTAGGCTGTGTAACATTTTCCAGGTATTTACCGTTGGCATCTTTCATTATCACATTCGTTTACTTAGGAATTCTTCGAGCTGTACATTTAATTGGGTTCCCAGCTCTTGTTTCGCATTCAAATGCCGTACAGCTAATTGTGACGTTACGAGTATGTTTCAATGATAATTGGATATTACCAATATCACGGAAAGATCTAGCTGTTTAATCTAAAAGATTTTATTGGTATGAATAGAAAGAATGAGTTTTTTTGTAATTCTTGGTAACAACGACATAATATATGTTTTATGCTGGTTTCTTTCATCTAAAACATGATTTCAATGTACTCTGTTGAGTTGGTGTTAGATAATAGGAATAATAATTAATATTTCATCTTAATATAATGTTTTTTGCTCATATTTTCTCTGTCTAATTTTATGCTTTTTTTTTCCTATAAAATATTGAACAAGAACTCCATTTCATCCTAATATGGTATTTTTTTTTGACTGATAAATGAGAACAAGGCTTAATCTTCTTCATGAAAGAAAAGTTAACTGTTTTCCTAGCATTCATTAATTGCAGCTTGTTGGTTTAAGTTTCGAAATTGCCGATGGTAGAAGAAAAGATGAAATGAAATTCGATCCAAATAAGACACGGTTCATTGAAGAACCGTCGTGGTGGCAGACATTTTTATATTCATATAATTTTCCAGGCCTTTTTACTGGTATATTTATGCTTCATACGTCAGCACTTTAGTTTAGCATCATATGCTTTTTCTATTTTTTCATTCGATTCGAATATAACATATTCGTGTAACTTCATATTGCTGACAATCTGCCACCTATTAATGATAACCTATTAATACGCTTCGCATCATAATTGATGCAGCCTTTGTAGCACTGCATAATTTTTTCATAGCACTGCATACTTTCCCATTTTTTCAATTTACTTATTACGAAAATTGGTTGAATTAATGAAACTTTAATCATTAATTCACATTCCAAATATTTTTCTTCTCTCTTACACGACGACTACTTACTACCACTGCGAAGAATTATTTATGAGTGTCATAACTGGTCATATTTTGCATTTGTATTAGAGCTCTTAATCAGTTGTTGAAAAACATATTTTGGAAATTTTGATGATTTTAACATTAGATCACACCATCACTTCTAGTTTGATTGGCACCTGCAATCATTGATAACAGAAGGATTTCATTAAATCATACAATATAGACTTTTTTTTAAATTTTTCATACTTATTTTTATTTTTTATAATTCTACATACTTTTTAAGGTCCATATTACACATATGCAATGTACCGAGATGTTGTTAATAATGATAATATAATGGAAATATGCGTTTGGGAACATATTAAATGGCGTTTATATAATTTTGCATGGTCATTACCTGCTTTTGTTTTACTTTTATATACTTTCCCACTTGAGGTTTGTTATATCATCTATTTTACTTTTATATACTTTCCCATTTGAGGTTTGTTATATCATACTATTTTACTTTTATATACTTTCCCACTTGAGGTTTGTTATATCATACTATTTTATTGGATTTTATAAGAGATATCAATTAGTTGATAGTATAGAAAGAGGAGGCACTAAATCTTTTTTGAGTAATTATAGTCATATTGATTCTTAAAGAACAGTAAATGGCCTTTTTGCATTGCCGATTATCTCTGAAAAATTTTGATATGATTGCCAAAATCTGTTTAACAGATGATGCGCAAAGATGAATTTTTCGATGAAACAGTCTATTACCGAATATCGGTTAGTTTTTTGGTATTTTTGTGGATGCGGTGTCGTGTATACAGCGCGTGGATGGTTGCTGAATCAATCTGTGTACTGAATGGAATTGGAATTTATCCGGAAGAAAGTTGTCCATTGGCTGGGAAAGGACCCAGCAGAATTGACATTTTAAAGTAATACTTATTCAAATTTAAAAAAAGATAGTGTTTTCATGATTCGTTATCAATTATCCATGGCTTAATTGATTTTGCTTACAGTCCCATAATTTGCCCACCGACCGTGAAACCTGTTTGAAAAGGGCAGCCTTAGTACTGATGGACCATAATATTGAGTATATAGTACTGATGGATCATAATATTGAGTATACGGCGATATTACCACATACGATTGAGTGAATATGCAAAAGAAATAAAAAATCCTTGTAATCAAAGTGGCATTTATGATTGCGATTATTATTATTATTATTATTATTATTATTATTATTATTATTATTATTATTATTATTATTATTATTATTATTACTTATTATTATTATTATTATTATTATTATTATTATTATTATTATTATTATTATTATTATTATTATTATTATTATTATTATTATTATTATTATTATTATTATTATTATTATTATTATTATTATTATTATTATTATTATTATTATTATTATTATTATTATTATTATTA